TGTTATCTTCAATAATGACATATCAATATTTTACTATTAATTAAATAATAAATAATGACATATCAATATTTAAAATAATAAATAATGTTATCTTCAATAATGCTGTGTTAAATATTTAAAAAAAATTATTTGTATTGTTGTTTAACTATTATTTGTTTAACTATTATTTAAAAAAATTATTTGTATTTAGTTTCTAATATTATTATATTAATTTATTTTTTTGAAAAAACATAATGAAAATTTTATTTATAAACCACCGTACATAAATTTAAAATAATTTATGAATAATTAAAATAAATAGCAAACCCCTCCTAACATATTATGAAGGTAGTTATAATAATTATTTTTATAAAATAAATATAAAATTCTAGTATTTATTGTTGTTTAACATAAAATAATGGTCTTTTTTAAGCAAAATCATCTACATAATAATTATTTTTAAAATTGTATATGATATTTTATACCTGTTAACAAAAAAATTATCTATTATTTAATTTAGTATAATTTAATATTTGTTGTGATTTTAAAAATATTAAAATGTTATTAATTCTATAATGTATCTAAATTGTTTTATTTAACTATTATTTTTTCTAATTAAATACTATTCTATTGTAATTTTTATATTTCTAATATGCTAGAATTTTTATTTTATTATAATGTCATTGTTAAAATATTTAAATCATATGTATAAAATATAGGTATTATAACTAGTTAAAAATAAAATGTCAAATAAAAGTCATGAATGTATATTATACACTTATTTAAATTTAATTAGTACAAAATGAGAAAGACATTAATACCCTGAAAGAGTGAAACACCTAAGAAATAACCTTTTCTTAATGATATATGAGTTGGGGTGGGGGACCTATAGAATCAGTCTAATTTTGAGATGGGCCATATTGGGTGGGAATCACGTTTATTATATTTGGATATAATCAAGTGGGAGAAGAAGAAGAAGAAGCAATCAAAGCATACAAGAGAATATCAACTTCCTCTTTTCCTTTCAAAATGGAAGAACCCAATTTAATTTACAAAGAATCGCTTTCAATTCATATTAAAAAGCATGCAAGTTGTTTAAACAAGAAAAATAATGCAACGGCCATATAACTTCTAAAACCAGCAATTAATAACTTAGCTTTATAATATTCACTTTGCTATATTTTAGAGGACGGGTACAAATCATTTTTTAACATATTATTAATTAAAATTTATTAAAAACTAAAAAATATAAAAATTATTCAATAATAAGACTCATAATTTTTCAAATTTTAATACAGTGTATTAAAAATATATTACTAGCATTTCTCATTATTTTATGTTAAAAAAATAACTACCAAATTTACGATCGTTATCATAGTTTTTTTTTTACAAGTATAATTTTTATTTTAAAATAAATAAATTATTAATATAAACATTGTACATCTACCTTGACCCTATGATAAAATAATAACGTATATTATTTTTATATTAACAAAGGTGCTTATATTTTATATGCTGATAATGTTTATATTTTTTTACATTAACAAAATCGTCTATTAGTATGATGTATATACACGGCGTTAGTATAGATCCTCAATATTTATACTAATAATTTAATTAATGTCAATCAAAGACCATTTTAATAAAAATTAATTTAATGTCAAACAGTTAGCAAATAATATTCTTTTAGGATCGTTGTTCATTTCCTTTACAAAACAAACCAAAATGCGTAGATTGAATTAAATATTTCAAAATTCTAATTTTGATTTAATCCAATTTAGTAGCAGGTTTGATATTTTAACTTAATAAAAATTGATCAAGTTAATTTAGATTGAAACGAGAATTTCTCTCAAAATTTGATATTGATTAAATCATATCCGTTAACAGTGAGTATCCATAAATTTACATGCAGGTGGTCTAGATTTCGTAGTTTTGAACCTAAAATTACAGGCACAAATAAAAGTAATAAAGTGAAGTAGTTGAAATGCATGGTCCCATTGCATTGAGAAACCAACTTGGGAGGCAATAGGCAATAGGCAATAGGCAATAGCATTGGATGGGGGAGTGGGGTATATGAAATTCCCTAGACATGCCCTATAAAATGGGTCCAAAGTGTGAATTTGGCCGCTGCGGCTGGCATGGTCACGCGTGGTTTGAGACTTTCAAGTTTTGAACAAAGAAAACAAAACAGTTTGGTTCATCCCATTAAAGCGACAAAATGGTCTCTCGCAAATACAGATAGATGATGAGGCTGCGTTTCCATTGTGGAAAATAAGGTATGCGTCTATGCGGTGTGTTGCGTTGCAGTCAACAAATGCATTTATATTTTCCAAATTTAACAAAACTAAACTCAAATAAACATTATTTCAAGACCTATACACTCGTCATAAAGATTATTATCATTCTTTCATGCGCAAATAACATTGCTAAACTCAGTGAAAATTTTACTGCATATATCAAGGGTTTTTGTGAAAACTTTTGTTAGAATAAGTTCAGAGTTTATTTTAATATATAGTGAAAGTTTTTTTTTTTTTTTTACAGTTAAGATAATTTTTTAAAATAATTATTGTAAAATTTTACAATTTTTGATGATATAATAATTTTTAATGTGTATTTAAAGACATTTATAAAAAATTATAATTATATTTTATTAAAATTTATAAAATTAAGTATATTGATAATATTAAATTTATAATTTTAAATAAAAACTTTAATGTTTATTAATTTTTTTATTGTTTATCTTTAAGTATATATTAAAATATTATATAATATTACTTTCAGTCCTATTTATAAAAAAAAATATTTAATTCATTAAAATTAATAAGAATAACTATATCTACAAATTTATATTTTATTATAAAATACTTATAATATTAAATAATTAAATAAGCAAATTATTTATTAAGAAAATTAATATTTTGATCTTTATTGTTTTTAAGATATATCAAATAAATTTTCAAACAAAATAGAACATTATTTTAATTTGCAACATAGGTAATTGTCAATCATTTTAATTCTTATAATTTTGAAAATTTATTAAATAATATTTAATCTAAATATAATGTTATTTTAGTTTTCAATGTATATACAAATATCAATCATTTATTTCTATAATCTTATACATTAATTATTTTAACAAATAAAATAAAAAATAGCATTTAATAATTACGTAAAAAATATAATTTACTTAACATTTAATGTATATATAATTTATCAATAAATTTTCTGTAAATATGATATTTAATATTTAATAATAATGTAAAAAATAATTAACAAATTTTAAAAAAATAAACTTCAAAACATATTATCGTCAAATGTCATGTGAAATGAATAACTAAAAATTTACGTGTTAAATCAGTTTGTTAGTTAAAATAATTAATATTTAAGTAATGACAAAAATTAAAATAATTTATAATTATATATTTTAAAAACTAAAATGAAATTTTATTTAAATTGAAGATTAGTTTGATAAATGTTTAAAATTATTAGAACTATAATAATTTATAATTACATATATTATAAATTAAAATAACAATTTTACTTAATTTATAAATTATTTTAATAAATTTTAAAAATTATAAAGACTAAATTCATAGTTTATTCATTATATATTAAATAAATGTATTTAAATAATAATTAATAAAAATTTATAATAAATAAAGGTATAAATAGATTTTATATTTTATGATCACAAAAATATTGATATTATTTTCATAAATAAAATAATTTTATGGATAATTATTTAAAATTGTGCTCCTTCTGCGTCTGCAGTGTGCAGAGCTGGGTATCTGTCAAGGGTTTGAATTATCACTTTTCTTAATGGATTTGTCTATTTGAAACAACGACGTTTGTAATTGTAAATGTTGTTAAACGTGAATTTTTGTGCTTTTTCAGTTTTCTGAACGCTTCTTTCCATGTAAGAAACACTGAAACACCAATCTGATCTCATAGCTTACGACCCTGTCCTGCAACTTGATCATTCATTTCAATCAATCTATGCACTACCTTCCACCCTTCATCACTTACCATTTAATTCTTTTTATTCTCATAAGTTATTTTTATTACATTAAAACAATTTTACTCACACTAACTGTGAACAATGGAACTTTCATTTAAAATATTTAATGCAGTTATATTTTTAGACTTGAATTCGAGACTCTTAGTTAAATTAAAATAATTCCGTCTTAATTAATTCAAACTCTCGTAAATTCATTTAACTATGATTATTGCCCTGGAAAAATTAATTGAAATTTATGTACCGTATACAATGCTCCTTTTAATAATTCTTGCTACATAAATACAAATATTTTTAATAATTCATTAACAAATAGTAATATAAGGAGCTATACACACACTGATGATGATTCATTATATATATTTTTATTGAAGGGAAGCATAAACACGGTTACCATAAAGATGCATGTGGATCAATGGTCTTAGATATTGTCTAGGGGTCATCCTTATGTCGTTATGTCCTATTGGAACATATTATTATGTGGCTCCATTATACTACCCTCAGTGCATATCACCTGCATCTTAATTGTATGTAACAAGATAAAAAGCCAACACCACAGCATGATGTATGCAATCTACGTTGGTATTCTCTGTTGTTAATTACTCTAGTAAATATTAATTACACTGTTCAAGTGCCTTTCAACTGGCTAGAGTAATAGTAGCTTCTTTCTAGATCACAATATACTCATCGTTTAAGCTCCTTCAAGTTTACACAAATAATAATACTTTATTATTATTTTGTCCTTCTTTCTTGATTAAAATAACTTGAGAGATCATTATGGAATGCAACAATTGGAACAATAAAAAAAAGAAGGAAGGTGGTTACTCGAAATTGAATAACCTATTTGAAAATCCAAGACGCCGACCCTCCCCTTCATAAATCACAATAACCCCTCTCTCTCTCTCTCTCTCTCTCTCTCTATCTCTATCTCTATCTCTATCTCTCCTTATTCTTTGCCCAAAAATTGCTATATACAATCCAATAACTCCTAAATTAACTGAAACCCGCTTTGTACCTTTGGTCCCTCCAACTTCAGTTAATTAACTTCCCTAAAGCTTCAAAGAGAAACCCATTCGCTCTCTCTCGCTCTCAAAACACCAAACATCCCATTCACTTCCAAAACCCAAAACTCAAAGCATTTCATAATAATAATCATCACTTGTTTTGTTATCAAAACTCACACAAAAAATGCCACCAAATCCTCCAAACTCATCTTTCCTTCACAGACCAAACCACCACCACCACCCTCCCATCACAACCCCCACCGTTCCCGACGTAGTCGCCCGCTATCACACCCACGCCGTCGCCGCCAACCAGTGCTGCTCCGCCGTTGTTCAGGAAATCGCCGCCCCCGTCTCCACCGTCTGGTCCGTTGTCCGCCGCTTCGACAACCCCCAAGCCTACAAACACTTCGTCAAGAGCTGCCACGTCATCCTCGGCGACGGCGACGTCGGCACCCTCCGCGAAGTCCACGTCATCTCCGGCCTTCCCGCTGCCGTCAGCACCGAACGCCTCGACGTTCTCGACGACGAGCGCCACGTCATCAGCTTCAGCATGGTCGGCGGTGACCACCGCCTCTCCAACTACCGCTCCGTCACCACCCTCCACCCTCGCTCCCTCACCGATTCCGACGGCAACCACCGCTCCGCCACCGTCGTCGTCGAGTCCTACGTCGTCGACGTTCCCCCCGGTAACACTACCGACGACACTCGCGTCTTCGTCGACACCATCCTTCGCTGTAACCTTCAATCACTCGCCAAATTCGCCGAGAACTTGGCCAGAACGAAACCGCATCAACGATAACTTCAAACTGTTCGTTTTTTTTTTTAATGTAATATTAATGCTATATATACTTTTTGTTATCATTATTATTACTATTATCACTAGTGTGTGAGCTTGTTGGCTGAAGAGAAAGAGAAAAAAAAAGAGGAGATTTTTCTTTCTTGGCGCAGTTATGTGATCAACATCATTTTATTGTTTCTCTTTGTTAAGAAAGTGAACATGAAACAAGGATTCCTGTAATCTTAGTGTAATCTTTGTTCTCATTATAGTAATTTTCATGTGGCCAATACAGTTAATTGTGTCCTAATAAAATTAGAACCTTAGTTTTCGTAGTTTATTAATTTATATATTAGTCATATATTTTATAATGAGATGAGAATTGCACCGACTATGGGCTTGATAAATTAATTAAAATCACGGGTTTGTGTTGTTTTTGAATGGATTACTAGTTTATTATTTATTATTAGCTAGTGGTGATGTGAGTTGCAAGTTTTTCCACATGAAATGCAGAGCTTTTGAATGTGAGCTTCCAGAAGTTAAGGCGAACGTGACGATGGCTAGCTAGTTGTGATGCAAGTTGCGGTATGGGTTCTGTTCGTGCCTTCACTTTCTGACTTCTGTCTACGGTCCACTTCTGTACCTGAATTTTCATCAGTGTAAATCACACAGTGGCAGAAAGATACGAGTATATATATATATGTTTATATATATATATGTATATAAGTTGGAGTAGTTAGGGTAATTATTATATCGTAAACTATAGCTAGTTTGCGCTTTTAAGAAAGAAAGGAAAAACTAAAACCTTCTTAGGGGTAGTTCTTTAAATTTTTTTACATGATAAAGAAGTAATTGAAAGCCGTACCTAAAAATAAAAATTTTCTTCAGTTTCACTCACTGGACATTATTGTTCAAGTTGGCTACTATTTTGACATTAGCGTATATTATAAATAAGAAAAATAATGAGATTGAATTAGATAGAGAAAAAGATATTGAATAGCATATAGCTAGCTGGATTCGGCTGTAACGTGACTTTTTGGGGCTTTTCAAAGTCATGTATATTCCCTGAGTTCGAAACCAAGTCGATGACAATATTATAGAAGTGATTTGCGCAAAGGCAGAAAAAGACATGCAAGTTGCAGCATAATAATAATATAATATATAGAAGTTGTTGAGGCACGATTGTTTTATTTAATTGAATAGAGAGAGATATCAAATCAAAATGAAGGAGGACCAACGAAAAGAAATGTCGTTGAGCATGGGTTAGTTTGTTTGAATAATCACTGGTTCGTCGTCCGTTTATGCAAGTTGGTGAGCAAGTGGGAGTTAACATATACACGAGAGAGAGATGCTCTTAATGATCCTCGTGCACTGCGGTACCCACCCTTTATCTTTGTCCACTACTTGTGGGTCACCAAATTACTTTTCAACAAATTTATTTTAAACATTGTTTTCCTTTTAAATTTTCATAACTATTTTTTTAAAAAATAAATATACCTTTTATTCACTTTACAAAATAACATTACGTGGGAAAATGGTTTGCATTTAATTAAATAACCATTTTGAGAAGTGGAAACTGGAGACTTTGGAGCTTGAAGAGCAGTTTCAGGTGAAATTGTTCTCTAAAATGCACTTTTCAAATATATATAAAGAGAAAAAAAAAACTAGTACAGTCAATGCGAAAATAGAAAAAGAGGACGATAGTTTAATTTAAAATACATTTTTAAAAAACCATTGGATAATAACTATAATTTAAACTTTAACTTAGAAGACAGTTTTACGTGTTAATTTTTTTTATGAAATAACGCATTAGATAGCGAATATTAAAGCGATTCCATCAAATTACTCTGTAAAATTTTTATTAGAGTTCCATTTTTTTAAACCGTTTTTGAATTTACGATTCATAATATCCTTAATGGCGTAGTATAACCTCGATAATAAATCTGTTATTCTTTCCAAATAAAGTGCATTGGAGATCATTTACTAAGTTCTTCAGTCAACAGAGGTAAACATTTCATATAAATCATTTCATCTACCAATTAAACAAATTTGAGCCATTGATTTTCAATTGATGTAATTTATGAGTTCAAAAATTTGTGTATAGTTAACCTTTTCCATGGTTGGGTATTGATATAAAGAAAAATGCATGCACAGAGCATTTGGCTAAACAATCCACGTTATAAAATTATTAAGTGAAGAGGATGTATAGAAGATGAAGTTATAACTTGAGATTTTAATGATTTTATAATTTGTTGTATATTTATATATGTTTTGTTACATTTTTTATTTTGAAATTAATTATAATTATATCTTATCTTTTAAATTATATTTCTTTTAAAAAAAACTCAAATTTCACATTAAAATATTTAAAAACAAAATTGATAGATGATAGGAATAAGAGAGGAAAAGAGAGAGACGACCATATTTAATTTGTGTATTCTTTTTATAAATATAGGAACAATATTATACTTATAATAGTTTTATAATATTTTATATAATTATTTCTCATTATCTTTCTTTATGAAAATTATAATTATATTTTAGCTTTCATTAAATATTCAATTACAGCGTTACTCTTTCTGTATTTGTATCTATCATCAGTAGTGGAGGATGGTAGCAGTGGGGGAAGCTACACGAAATTTACTAAATTTATATATTGTGTTAATAATTTATTATCTTAAATTCAAGTAGTTAAAGTTCAAACATCAACGATAAAATTTGAACTATTAACAAAATGAACAAATATTTCTTTTTGCAGATAAATAGTTATTTGTATTAAAAATAAAAGTTAAAACTTTTAATACTTTTGCGTAGATGTAATTTTTATATTTTATTTTGTAATTACTTTTATACTAATAATGTCAAACTAATAAATTTTATGTCCATATATATATATATATAATAATTTATGTAAAACTTAAAATTTAATTATCTTGATGCTCAAAATAATGGGGCAATGTCCATCATGAGTCAAAATGGTTTTTCTTCAGACTTGATTTTACAGCTAGCTCCTACGTCTCCCTCTGGCATTTGATTTGTAGGTACATGAATGATAAAGTCTTAATGACTTTATTATATACAATTAAATTATTCTGAAATTGACTACACATGACAACATGTCTGCTGCCTGCGCTTTTTGGTTACTGACTCTTTCTCTTTGTAGCAATTGCCGCCCAAGTGTCAAGTACAATAGTAAATACGGACTAAGAAAAGTTATATTCACAATATATATATATACACACACATATGGATAAGGTAAATAAATTTATAAAAATATAATATCTTTCAAATGGCCAATTTTGGTTTAGGAAATCTTTCGACGCAGTTGTTATGTTGTCTCTAATATTTGGAGGTGAAGTTTTGTTTAAATCTCTGAAAAATTGCCAATGCTGTGGAAAGTAACCTTTTTACATGTATGTTTAGAGCTGAACACTTGCTAGAAAGGTACACGGGAAGGGAGGAGTTGTTTAAGAGAGAAGAAGTGTGGAGAAGACGGTTTCCGACAAAGAAGAAGACTTAAGAGAGAGAATAAACTAGAAAAAAATTTAAAAAATAGAAAAAATAAAAATTTGAATAAATGAAGTTTGATTTTTTATAAAAGTAATAAAAAATAATAATAATTCAACCGTTGATTCAAAGAAAAACATATTTGAAAATATTCAAAATTTAAATGTAAATCATTTTATTCATATTATAGTAATTTAGAAATATTTATTAGTAATGGTTAATTCTGTACTAAATATAATGTAAATATTAATAATATAAATTTATTTAAAATTTAAATGGTTATTGTTATCATAAGTGATGTTTATCAAATTAGATAGATTCTGAATTTTTATAGAAAAATAATATGATTATGTATATTTTGTAATTACTGTTTTTAAAATTTTTATTATTTATGTAAAGAAAATATTTAAAATTATTGTATATAACGTAAAGTATATATTATAATATAATAATGTTTTGAAAATAGTTAGGTTAATTTAGTAATATATTTTCGTTAATATTTTTATTATCATGGAATAAAATTTTATAAATGTGTATGTAATAGATGAATGAGTAGTATCATATTTTTGTAATATATTTTAACATCTTTTATAAATTTATAATTTAATATAAGCAGTGTATATATTAACATTTTTAATTTATTAATTTATTTGTCATTATTATTTGCATGGGATTTTTGTTTAAAAAATTATTAGCATTACTGTAAATTATTTAATTAGATAAATTTTGTATGGAAAATAATATAATATTCTATATTTTGTAATTAGTGTTTTTGAAAAATATTATTATTTATGTAAAAAAATATTTGAAATGTTTTCGGATGTATTGACCATAGGAAAAGCTTGAGGATCTGGCATTGATTATAGAAAGAAATATTAAGCTGTATAAAATAAAAAGTAGTATGACTAAGTAAGACGTAGAAAAAAAAAAAGCACTTTATTAATGAAAAAGGAAAATTTTAAGCAAGACTTGTATCGTGCAAACTTACGTTTGATGTGAGGTAAGAATTTTCGGAGTTCTAATCCTTGCCCAATGTTTGGATGAAAAGAAAGAAAATAGGGGATCAACAATTAAACTTTTGAATTTTGAATTAAAGAAAAAATAAGAAAAGAAAAATATATGGATTTTTATTTATTTTCTCCAATACGTCTTTATTTATTTTTTATGGGTAAGTTATGATACTTTGAATTAGTTTATTATTCCAGTTATTGTGAATTTTAAGCTTTCTTTAATACTTTCTAAGAAGTAAAAATCAAAATAAATCCAATCCAAACTACTTTGACTTTTGATTGGACTGGATATAAGAGAAACTATAAATAATTACAAAAATTTAAGTATAACAGATAGATTTTTTATTTTTATTTTAAACTATAAATCATCTATTCTTTTTATTTGTCATACAAATAATCTAATTAAAATTCTATAGCATTTTGAAAAATATGTTTTTAATTTTAGTGCTTCAATATATGTGATGTAATAATTTTAAATTACTCTCTCTCAATACAACCTTAATTTGCCTATGTTTAATTAGCTTGAGATGTATTCACCATTCAGATATGGTATGCAGAAATTGAACATTTTTATAAAAGGTGCCCTGAATCATTTTCTTAGTTGTCGTTACTAGTAGCCAATTGTTACCTTTCTTACAGAAGATTTGATATAATGACAAGTATTTATAAATTTATGATGCATTTTATTACCTTATTATAAAGTTAGGAAAGAAGTTTAGTTTTTTTTATATCATTCTTTTCTCTATCATTATTTTTTATGACTTTATCGTTAATTTTTTTAGTGTTGATTATAAGAGTCTATTACGTTTGGCTTCAGGTGTTTAAGTTCGAGTATCTTATCATGTTAACTTTGAAGAGCGAAATTGACTATCAAATTTTACCATAAATCTGTTCAAATTTTACTTTCAAGAATATAATTTTAATTTTGATGCAATTATTTATTTTAATAAATTTACAAAATGTCCTTGAATCTTTAGATGTTAAATTAATTGATATAATGAATTACTTGTCGAGGTTGAGTTTTCAGATGTTAAATTGATATTATGGACACCTCTACCTTCATCTATGAGTATTTTTCATACTCAATTTAATGTTTTTATTTAAAAAGACATTGAACATTAGTCTAAAGAAAAAAAGGACAAAAGTTTTAAAAAAGGTCATAAATATTTCATTAATACTGTGAAATCGAAAATAATTTTTTTAAAAAATATTATAATGACAATTATTTCTGAATGCAGCGAGTAATGCATTGAACTTTACTGATAATATAATTTAATGTACATATTATACACTTGTGTGAGAAAAGTTTAGGCAAAATTAGATGATTGATTTTTAACTTATTTTTAATTGTTTTTGTATTTTATTTTATTTGTCTAATTTTTCGAGTCCAATTTAAGTTAATTTGTCTATTTTTTTAGTTTTGTTTAACTTTATTAACAATAAAGTTAGTTGGCTTTATATTTAACATAATGTTATTTTATTAAGTCTTCTTACATTTAAATCTTTTGATGGACTTTCTCACGGCCCCCTTTTTCTATGCAAAAGAATTTTGATGTTGTGCAATATAGGTAAAAACATGAATATTTCTATCTTCGTATCCCAAACTCTAATCTTATAATATAAAATAAGTTATTAAAAATTGTTACATATATATAAAGTGGGAAGTAATATTTCTAAAAAAAGTGTGGATAAAATTCAAGGTTTTAAACTTGATGCAATTTAACTAAATATTTTTTATGTTACTGCTTCTTTGTAAGGTGCATATTGGAGTAATTATTTAACTTAAAGGACTTGTGTATTCTAATTTTATTTGGTAGGATATATCGTTATACTATCTTGTAAATTTGTATTGTTTAGAAAGACAATAAAGAAATATAGGCAAAATGTTTCAATGTTTTTTTGTTTGTTTGTGTTTTTTTAATAAATGCAGAGCAATTTTAATGAGCGTCTTTGATTAACTTTTAAGACTCAAACGTTCATATGTTTAACCCATTATTACATAACATTGTAATTCTTTTTATGTGTAAAAAGAAAAACATGAACAAATGACTAATTTGTTGGATTTTTAAATGGTCTAAGTCTAAGATAAAATAGAATTGAGTCAAACTAATATTATCAATAATGAGTTAAACAAAGTTAACAAAAATAATTAACTTGTTAAATATTTAAAATTTATTAAGGATACAAAATAAAACTAATAAAAACTAGAGGATCAACTAAAATAAAGGACATAATTAAATGACCAATCATTTAATTTTACCAATACTTTAAAACTATAACAAGTTATTGAACATAGAGATGCATATGATTTGATACATGTACATGTGTACTTAAACCAAGTTTAAATAATTTTTTTAATTTTAATTTTGTTAATTTTGACCTTTAAACTTAATTTTAAATATATAAACATGTAAGTTTTTATGAAAATATAATATTTATTAGAAAATATTAACCGTTTCCCTTAAAGAATCAAAATTAAGAAAAAAGGATATTGAAAGGGGTAACGCTAGGCTCTTCTTGTGATTTCTAATTAATATATTTCTAATGTGATTTATTATATTTTTTTTGTTAACAAAATCCATCTTTATTAAAATCTTATTTTTTAATATAATAAATATATTTTTAAAATACTACCTTTAGACACACAATAAAAAATTAATAGAGTATCTTTTTTATTAAAAGTAAGATTTAAAATTATTGATACATTGCATCTTATAATATTATATAATATTTAATAAATACTTTCTACATATAAATGTTTATTATATACATCAAAAGACTAAAGTTAACATTTTTTTTCAATATTTATAACTTGTATGAGGCGATATCATCGTAAAATAATGCAATACTAGGTGTGCATGTGTGGGCGACAAATCACACACTTAATTATAAAATATTAACGAGCTTCATCGTATAAAAAAATGTTAAAAATATACTTTTTAATATATTTTTAGTTATTATAAAAAGTTCATTATAAATTATAAATAAATGAGTGAAAAATATTAAATTTTTTCGAATGAGATTAATATAATTTTAAATTTTTAATATCTCTTAATTGATAATAAAAAATATATTCCTAGAATTTATCTTCACGTAAAAGTATCTGTTTTCTATACATATGTGGAGTTGCGGTACACCCAAAAAAGTAAGCTAACTTTTCTCTTGCCTTTTCCTTCATAACCATAAAGATTTGCAGCTTGCTTAAATAGCTGTGGTTGAGAGTGATAGTTAGCAGAAAGTGGGGGTAATGCAAGAGTAAAGGTTTATAAAAAAAAAAGTGAAGAATTAATTGAATCAATTTTATTTAAAGATGTTCGCTTGTTCTTCAAGAAAAATTAATTGAATCGTTAATTAAGCCATTTTTTATTGGTCCGTAGTGAGGCATTCTAGTCCTGTATTCTAAGTTTGTAACCTCTGTGTTCATGCTACCATCACCATTTTTCTAAGTTTACTTCTTCAATGTTTTCGTTATTTTACCCTTTTTCGTGTTCTGTGTGTCTCAAGACAAAACCAAAGAAATTAAATCTTAAAGGGTATCTTATCTGATTTCCATTATAGGTGTAAAGCTATGATATCCATTACAAAGTATGGAGCAATAATATATGAAATTGTTTGCTGGTTTTTAATTTGAATCATGTGGAAAGCACAAAGAGGCTTCGAGCTTACTTCAAGCAAAGTTCTTGGTTGTGAAAACGTCAACAACACAACCTACTGGCATACCGTTAAGCTGGGCCTGCACATTGTCATATCAAATCAAAATGGGAAACAATATACCTAAATACAGAAGGTGCTAGGTTTAAATCGCAAATACCAGGAAATTTTACGCAATATCTCAAATTAAGTCTAATTAAAAAATTAAACAGAACAATTTAGCTTTTTAATTGTACCCTTTGTTAAACAAATAATGATATTTTCGCATTAAATACAAGTTAATTTGCACACCTCTAAAACAAGAGAGTTAAAAAGGAAAGATCAAAAAAGATAAATATAAAAAATGACATGACAATAAAGAAAAAAAGAAGAAGAGATACGGAGTATAGGATATAAAAATTGAAGTGTGAAAAAGAAATAGAACTGTGACGTTAAAAAAAGAATAATCATATATTTGTTGTTTAATATTGAATTAGACTTTATTCATACAATGTTTTACATAATAAAATTAAACTATTAGTATATATATTACGACTCTATATTAACACTGTATATAATTAATACATTATATTAATGGACAGTTTTATTAGTATAATAAAATTGTTACATATATATATATATATTATTATAATATGTTAAATATTAATATGTTTAATTATATCATTAATATAAATATATAATATTTATACTGATAATTTTAGAAAGGTTATAACAATATAATGGTTAACATTTTTGTACATTAGTAAAATCTCATTTGTTTTCTAGCTAGTGTTGTCAACTAAATAAAAGGTAAAACCTTAAAAATATTGATTGCACGTCCAACTGAACTGTTACGGTGTGTATAGAAAAACTTCTTTAAAGATAATGTTGAAGTTTTACGTTCAATTTTTATATTGAAATTACAAATCAATGTTTAATCATCACAAAAGTGGGTAAATTTGATTCTCCTACAGAAGCATTTTTATTTTTATTTTTCTATCTCTTCACAGAAAACTTAAGATGGCGCCATTTTCATTGGGAATATATCAACAACAAAAACTTCGAAATGCATCATTCTCTACCAACTACTTTTACTGGACAAGTTGGCTAAGATATAATAAAAATCTTTCTCACCAACCGATTGCAATGAAGCTTCAAAAAGGAGGAAGAGATGGTGCATTGGAATCGAAACGAAAAGGCCAAAATGAAAATGGCAAAGACACACCAATTACTAGTGGTAGGGAGTTCTTGGGGAGTTAGAAACACCTTTCATTCTCTTGTAGCCATCTTAACCACTCTTCTAGTTGTCACCACCATTTATCTAAAACAGGATGGAGGACAATTATCTCAAAATTTAAATGTCTCTAATGACACGTTATCATCAAACAAATGTGACTTGTTCTCTGGTAAGTGGGTTTTTGATAACGAATCTTATCCATTATACAAAGAGCAGCAATGCACTTTCATGTCAGATCAGTTGGCTTGTGAGAAATTTGGAAGGAAGGACTTGAGTTACCAGAATTGGAGGTGGAAGCCCCACCACTGTGATCTTCCCAGGTCTCTCTTTTTCTTTCATCCTCATTTACTTGACATTGTTGAACAAGAATAGTTACTCTTTTTAATATGCTATTAATTATTATTTAAAATATAAAATTACAAGGAAAACTTGTAAGTTAAAAATGAGACTAATCAGGTTTGGCTATGTTTTTGAGCTTTGTGGAATGTGGTTCTTTCTATGTTAATAAGGTTCAATGCCACAGCATTGCTTGAAAGGCTAAGGAACAAGAGGCTTGTGTTTGTGGGGGATTCACTCAACAGAGGTCAATGGGTTTCAATGGTTTGCCTTGTTGACTCTCTACTGTCCCCAACTCTCAAATCCATGCATTCCACTGCCAATGGTTCACTAAATATTTTCAAGGCCAAAGTAAGTTTCACCCTCGTAATAGCATTGCTTATTTCTTTCTTTTTTGTTTATTTTGCCATATATAAAGTAAAAGTAGAAAAATAAGCGAAAAATTTAAAAGTATGAGTGTTAGACAAATTTAAATTGCACTCTATAACCATATTTGTCTTTGAAATATTAAGATTTTAGAAGTCTTTATAATAATTACATGACTGTAATTGTAGTCGCATTAATACATTTATTTTTAATTTTTTAATCGTATTCAAATTACAGTTTTGTTAATTTCAACTCTTAAAATTAATTTTCAGTGTACAAAATTAATTTTTTTTAAAAATATAATATTTAAATTTAAATTACTTAACATCATTTCTTAAAAGTTAAGATTAATATATTTTTTTAAAAAAAGTTGTGGACTGCAACTGTGATTTAAAACTTTGAAATTAAGGAAATGTTATTTATACCGAGTTAGTTAACGCATGAATCACATGACCACATTTGTTTTAAGGTTTATAACCCAAACCAATTCAAAATGAGTGAGAAGAAACGTTCCATCAAATTATAATAATTAAAAAGAAACCATTTGTGAGGTACCCTTGTTACACCTTAACGAGCAACAGTTTTTTTAAAATAATAAATGAGACAATCTTATAGTCACATGCAAGGATATGTATTTATATTGCTAATAGATGGTTAATTGACATATTTAATAAAGGAATACAATGCAACCATTGAGCACTACTGGTCCCCATTATTAGTAGAATCAAACTCAGATGATCCAGTAAATCATAGGGTACCAGAAAGAACTGTCAGAATCAAGGCCATTGAAAAGCATGCCAAGTACTGGACTGATGCAGACTATCTTGTTTTCAACACATACCTCTGGTGGAGAAGGCCTATAATGAATGCTTTGTAAGTGTTGTTAATCTAACAAACGTTTCCTTTCATCAACTTGCATGTCAACAGCTCCAATTTCCATTTTCCAATCACCACATGATATGCTTGTGATTAACTAGTTGTACTGTATTCATCGTACACTCATCCATCACACAGCCATTCATCTAACTCCACTTTACAATTTGATTTTGATTGTGACAATTTTGATTGAACATGTCAGGTGGGGATCATTTGGAGACCCAGATGGTGTGTACAAAGGAGTTGAAATGTTGAGAGTATATGAAATGGCTTTGAGGACTTGGTCCGATTGGTTGGAAGTTCACGTCAATCGTAGCAAGACCCATTTGTTTTTCGTTAGCATGTCACCCACTCATGAAAGGTATCCACACCGCAACCTATCATATTTGCTCATTGATACATACGGCAACCATATTATTAGGAAAATTGCATTCCCCACAATTAGATGCATCTGAGCTCTCTAAAAGGGATGATAATTTTAATCAAATATCAATTGATAACAAGCAATGCTACTAAAAAGATTATTTTTCATTTTAATCTTTATAAAAAAATATATAATTTAGTCCTTATGTAAAAAAAATTAATATAAATTGATCTTTAGCGTTTGTCAAAATAATAACAATATTAATTAGATATGATTTTTACATATAACATATTTTTTTTTTTTATATTTTGGACATTCCAACATAAAAGATTTTATATTTTATTTTACGCAAAAAGTTTTACATTTTTATTTTTATACATAATATGTTATTTTTTGTTTTGATCAATACATAAATAAGAAAAATATCTAATATTGTTATAACTTCAATTAAGAGGAAGAACTAATTTGTAAATGATTTTTTATGTAGAAATCAAATTATAGAGTGTATTTATGTAGAGACCAAAGTAAAAATAATATTTAATATAGAGATTAATTTTTAATTTAATCTAATTTATATATATATATATATATATATATTGGATAGGTTTTGGGTTTTAGGTTAGAACTTAGAACCTTTTTCTTAACCCTTAAACAAGTTTAATATGTGAGCCGCTTATTGAAAATAAGTCAGAACAAATGGAGTTGGGGCCAATTTATTCCAAATTTTAGATAGAATTTGGTTTAACATTCTTTATTGATTCAAACACTAACCAGTTATATTCAAGTTAAAATCAAATTTCATATTTTTCTATGTTGTTGAATGGATTCTACGGAAAGTATAACTGCCTTGCTTTTTGGATCAATATAATTGATTTTAGGTAGTTTTCTTCTTTTTGTTAGAAACTTTTTGAAGATTTTTTTTAATAATTGTTCTATCTTGCAAAAGATTCAAAAGAACACATCAGAGTCATATGGAGAAAACGCTTGTCACTAGTGTTCTACTGCTCTCTTAAACTACTCAACAAACTCAATTTTAAAGTTAATTACTAATTACACAGTTGAGTATAAAGTTTGTAAGCAAGAACACTATGCACACAAATTTGCTAATTGGTTTGTTAAGGGTTCTTGTACTTTTGGCAACAGATGTAGATTTACCATATAATTACTACTTTCGGATATATTATTTAGCCATTACTTTGGTTTTTGTAATTGAAAATCTGGGAACTCGGATTCAATGACCAGTCATCCCCAAGCATTATGACCTTTCCAATGTGTTAGTAGTATACTTTCTTATACAAAAGCACATTTAACTAGAATGTTATAATTAATTATTTGATTACGCTGATAAAGACCATTGTACTCATCACAATAACTATAATTTAAAATCGAGCATTGATTGTCGTTTACTTTTATTCGGTTATTCACTATAACTATTAATTTATAAGACTCTTTTGATCATTCATATTAATTAACGATTTTAGTTAATAATATTGGATTTGTTAACAATTTCTATTATTTTCTTAGCAATACTTTTAAAATTGTTGAGAATTCATTCTCTTATTAATTTCTTTCCCCTGATTAATTATTTTGTTTTGCTAACAAGTGTTTTAAGAGTATTGGGTTAAAAATCAATAAATTTTTTTATTAAAAATTACAATAATAATACATTAATATATTTTATATTTATTGCTTTAACTAATGCACTTGAGGCATTGATTAATATTTGTCTCATCTCCATTTAAGTAATAACTTTTCACTAATCTTGTCTTATCCTAGTTGTAATTAAAGAGAAAATCTAAGAAATTAATGTATTACATTAATTATTTATTGACTATAAAATTGATAAATAATTAAAGATATTTTTGTTAAAAAGATTAATACAATAAATAATCTTAAAAAATTCTTATAACATGGGTCAAAATGAACCTTCTAAAATATTTCTATTAAAAGAATTTGTATTATATTTTATCTTTAAAAATAAAAAACTATTTTTAAAAAGAAAAACAAAGATACTATTATTTTTTTTCTTATTTTTCAATTATATCTTTACTTTTTGTGAGCAGTATACAAATAAATATCTTTAAGGCTGTTTATAACAAATATTTTAATGTAAATTTAGTATTTTTTTAAAATAAGTGTAGTCTGATTAACTGAAGTTAATTTGAGTGGTAAACGACTCAATATTACTTAAGCAAAACTTTGAATTTAAATTGTTATGTATATAAAAAATTTCTAATGATAGATTTATTCATCACATCTAAATGTACTTAATAAAATCTAGACTAGATTGAATGGAAACAAAAAAAAAAAAAGTATGATTAAGGTTATAATTAGAAATGTGCAGAGTGTTTTGTATCTAACCATTTATCTAAATTTTAGAGAACTATAATTTTTTCGTTCATTTGTAATCCTATAAAATTGATTTTAACAAAAAAAAAAAAGCATTTATATTTAAATGTTATTTTTTAAAATTCAAGTTCTAATTCTATTAAAATAAAATTATCTTGTTTCTAATTTTAAAATGAGTACATTTTAGAAGAGACAATTATATTTTGAAATTTCTGGCAGAATGTTTTTTGTTCTGTCTTGCAATACTCAAAACAAACTCAATTTCAGAACTATTACATCTATCTGTGGAAAGATTTGTAAGCAGAATCATTAACACTAATATGTTAGGAAGAGAAAAACTACCTATTTTTGACAACCCATATTGAAGACTTCCCATCTTATATACTGCTTTTAAGCTATATTGTAGAAATTTCTCAGAATCCAATTCAATAAAGGACTGTCATCCCATCCCAAACACGATAATCCTTCAGCCGTGTGTAATTAATTTTGACATTGAACACACATGGAACTAAAAAGTGATGTTTGATTATGCTGCTATAGTAACTTGTAATTAATAAGTCTAATAATTTAAAAAACAAAACTTACATGCTATTTGTAAGTTAAAATTACAATTTTATTTTAATAAAATGTTTGCATTTAATGTTATCGCAAATATCGAAGTAAAACTCTAAATTTTGTCCTAATTTAAAATCAAATCTCGATTCTTCAAGAGGTGTTCAGGAATATTGAAATGTATACTGCATACTATTGTGAATATACTACAGATAGACCCAAAAAACGAAATTACATATCAGTGCATATCATAGCTCCATAATTATAGTAGATTCATTGAACAATATAGATTTGTAACACAATAAAAAATTGCAGGGCTGAGGAATGGGGAGCAGCTAAGGGTGACAATTGTTACAAAGAAACAGAAATGATTGATGAAGAAGGGTATTGGGGGAAAGGATCTGATCCTAAAATGATGCGTGTGGTGGAGAAGGTGATTGATGATTTGAAAGAAAGAGGTTTGAATGTTGAAATGCTTAACATCACACAGCTCTCAGAATATAGAAAAGAAGGCCACCCATCTATCTACAGGAAGCAATGGGAACCTCTAACGCAAGAACAGATATCGAATCCAAATAGTTATGCAGATTGCATACATTGGTGCCTCCCTGGAGTGCCTGATGTATGGAATGAACTCCTTTATGCTTATATTTTTCAACAATGACAAACATTTGAAACGACAAGCTTGGAAATTGTATTTTGGGTAAAAGCCACACATTTATTCTATATTCTCAGGTTATTTAATAATTTTAAATCCACCCATGTTGTAAAGCACACACTTTCCTTTTTCCTTCAACATGTCTAAGCAACACTACTAATAGCCAAAAATATTCCTACACTTAGACCTGGTTGGTTTCAGTGTATAAATAGCAAGGGGAAGATGAAAACATAGATTATTTACCGAAAAAAAAAAAATTATCTCAAGTTCCTACTCATCATAGTGACATGGTTTGGAATTTTAAGCGGCATAACTTGCAATTCATAAGCCAAAAGAACTCAACCATCTCAATCAAGTTAAGATTCATGCATGCTTCAGTCAAAAGAAAATGGATTGGAGCAAAATGAACTACCATGGTATCTATTAAGGTATCCCACACATAAATATCGTCAGAATACTATTTATAGACTCCGACAATCTTTTGTTTACAAGCAAGCTTTTAGGAATGAATAAATTGGCTGTATGTCATCTCCGTAAAATAACAAAAGTTTGTCTTGAAATGCACATAAATTACTGAAAATTAAATGAATAAAAAGTACTATTGTAAAATATATCTGAGAACCAAAATACAGGTCCTTGTGATTGACTCATATGATATCAAGAAGCAAAATTGTTCTCCTAGTGCAATTAACTAGATTGAAAGGTTTTTCTTAATATTCAAAGGCAAAATCAAACTTAAAGAGTAAAGTACCAGATAATATGATATTGTCATAAAAATTTGAAAGAGGAACAAGTTGAATCTTGTTTCTCTAGCCAGTATGTTCTTTATGAGCTTATAGACATGAAAGATAGCATGAGTGTACAGAGAAACCAGGCATTCAGGGCACTTGTATTTTGATGTAGTTAGATTTGCTTTCTTCACATATTGTTGTCCCTTTGGAGGTGTACTAAGAAGCATTACAAAACTTGTTAGATTATTTTAATAATTTAATTATATTGGCCTATGTAACTTATAGTATGACTTTAATTAATGATTTAATATGATTGTGGTTAAATATAAAATATAGAGTCATTGAGAATATAATTGTAAATACAATTATAAGAAAACTCTCTTATTCTCCTTTAGATAAAAATAAGAGAACGGTTACCAAATAGAAGTTATGATATTCTTTATTACTAAGACTATCATTTTTACAGTTTCACGATAATCGTAAGAAAGAAACTTTCTTTCAACCATCAGAGAGGAGCTATAAGAGGAAGGAAGAGTTGAAAAAAATACCAAGAGCTCAACAACATCAAAGAGAGAGGTAACATCAAGGAACAATGGATTCATGTTAGTACTTTCTAAGTTCTTAATTGTGTGAGAACCATATATGTATTGTTGTGAGAACTACGTAATTCAAGATTAATGAAAATAGTAATTTCATAATAGTTATATCAAAGATAGAAATTACATAATAGACTACAATCTAACAGTTGGTATCAAGACTTTGGTCATGAATTCCATGATTCTCTATAAAAGATTAGTTTTTTGTTAAAGTTTTTTCCCGAATTACATGAACCCTAGGTATGTTATATGATGGATTGTCATTATTTTGATGTTGAATGATTGTTTAGGATTCAATAATTAAAAACCTTAAGGTTTTGGAAGTTCGAAACGTTAGGCTTGAATCTATAATTTAAGCAGGGCCATGCATCAGGGAGCAGGGCCATGCATCAGGGAGCAGGGCCACGCATAAGGAACAAGCACGGTCATGCATTAAGAAGCAAGGCCAAGCATAAGAAGTAAGCATGACCATGCTTCAATGAAGGACGATGATGCATCAAGTAAAAGCACAGCCGTGCATAGTGACTTCACGACAACATAAAAGGAAAAATTTATAAAATTTATAGATAATTTTAGAATTAAATCTAAGTATATTTTACTCACTAAAGTGATTAAAATTCTCATGTTAATTAATTCTAAATTATATTATCATAATGAGAACTTCATAATTTAATGCTTAATTGTACTTGGTAGCTTGGGTTAGTCACGAAAGTGGTCTGACTTTAAAAGTTTGTTTAAGCATTTAATTGTGTGTTGTAAATGTTTCAAAATTATTTGATGTTATACGATAACATAAAGTGTGAACAATTTAGCTCATTAATTATAATGCTAGGAGATCACCGATAGGTGGATCATTGCATATGATTAATGACATTAAGAAGACATGTAGACACTTTATATTATGTTTGTATATCCAAAGATGACTTGCATATTGTTTTGAGTAACTGATTGTCTATTAAAGTTGTTTATTTAGCATCATTATAGATAAATTATGTATTTAGGCATTACTCAAAGGTAAACTTAGATCCATAATTGATGATGGTTGATTGTTTGAATCCATTAAGTTTACTTAAAGCATAAATGTTTAAGCATGTGTCAAATATTTTAGTCCCTATGAGTATGAATGGCATGAGCAATGGCGTAGTTAAGTTTAATGGACTCAACTATGACGACTGGGTTTTATTCCAACTAAGTGTTATAGAGTTGGACCTAACAATTATTATGGAACAGGTGCCTGTAGCCATCACAAAGACAAATATTAAAAAGGAAAAGACTCTTCATGAAGCTTGGAAAAGGTCTAACAGGCTAAACTTGAGCTTGCTAAAAATGATTATGGTTGAAAATGTGAAGTTATCAATGCCAAAGACTGAAAATGCTAGGAAATTTATGGTAAAGGTAAAAGAGTTTGCACAATCGAACATCACTGACAAGTCCATTTTAGGTATTCTGTTGATTGAGCTAACTACTAAAGATAAATGGAGCATATAGGGAATCAAGGTCATGCTAATTTAAGAGGAAAAGAGGCTAAAGAAGGTGAAAGAATACTCCATCTATCTCACATTTTATGAAGGAACTAGTAGCAGCAAGGTTAAGCTAGATAACAAGGACAAAAAAGATAAGGCCTTAGTAAAGGTTCATGAAGGCTGAATTCAGAAGAGCAAGAAATACTCCTTCTGTAAGAAGATTAGCCACTTCAAGAAAAATTGTCTGAAGAGAAAGGTTTACTTCAAAAAGAAAGATATATATTATGTTTTGGTATACTTTAAATCAAATCTTATTGAGGTACCTAAAAACACTTGGTAGTTAGATCTGATGCAACTACTCATGTGTCACATATAATGCAATGATTTCTTTTGATTCAGCCTATAAGCATAGGGCCGTTCTTGACCTTTTTGGGACTCTAGGCGAAATAGGAAATTAGGGCCTTTTAAAACAATTATAAAATGTAATAAACAAAATAAAAACATATATTAATAATTTTATTAAAATAATACGTTTTTTTAAGTGGCTATAATTTTTTCTAATAAAATTATAAAAAAAATATTTTTTCATTCAAACAACTCTATATTATAATTAATTACAAAAACACAAAAAAATATAAAAAATAAGTTCTCTGAGCATTCTGAGATGCAAAATCATTAATGATAATATTAACATTAATGTTTTCTAAAAATTCTTTATCAATTGATAAAATTGTGAGATCATTCAACGGTTTTTGTAACATTGATGACTTTAGGTAGGTTTTGATTAACTTTAACTCTAAAAAACTTCTTTCAATTGATGATATAGTCATCGGGACCGTAGAAAAAATTCTATAAGTAATTAAAACATTTAGATAACAATCTGTAGATTTTACAAACTTAATAACTGTTTAATTTTTGGAGAAAACTAAAATTCTCCATGAGCTTTAATGTTAAGAATAGTAAAATTTTAGAATTAAATGAAGTTTTGAGTTTACAAAAGTTAATGAGTCGATTACGTTTATAGCAAGTGAGGTGCAAGGAATTAAAAGGTCTTTTTTATTTTTTTCAACTGCAAACTGTAAGAGCTAAAATTTTTTTCAAGTGAAAGTAGGACACGATTTTTACTTTGGGCCCTCTTTTAAGCTTGGGCCTTAAGCGATCGCACATCTAAACTACCCTCAGAACCGAGCCTATATAAGTAGAACTGAAAAGTTTTTGTACATGGAGAATAAAATGAAGGCACGAATAGAAGGAATAAAAACTTATAGATTGATCTTGCATATTAGTGTCTCAACCGAGGTTACGACGGGATGACGACCGTATAAAGAAAAGGAAGAATTATAGAAAAAGGGTTGGAATTAGTTTTTCTTTTTTAAAAAAAACTAATGACAAAGAGTTACTACCAAAGTTTATTAAAGAAAACATTGAAAAAACTTAAAAAAAAAAAAAACTCTGAAACTAGAATTGAACTTGAGAGTCATTTATGTGTAAAGAATGTATTAGTACCTTATGAAATCCGTTGATTAAAACAATTACCTTCTAATTAATTGTGTAAAAATTATTTTTTTAAAACATTTATTTCACTCTAAAAGAAAATAATGAATATTTTTTACTATTTTTAAATTTATTTTTATTATTATTTTTTTAGATTTATTTCTAATTTTTACATTTTTTGAAAATTTTAATTTTAATTTTTTAAAATAAAGAAACACAATAATAAAAAAATTATTTGAATTAAAAGAATGGCTTATTTATGAAAATATTATTCTTTTTTCATTTTTATATTATAGGAATATATTATAAAAAAAGAACTTATCTTAACACTTTAATTTTTTATATTTTATGAAATAAAATAAAATTTTCATTTTTATATTTTTTTATAAATAAAATAAGGTTGAAATTACTCTTAGTTTAAAATAATTTTACAAATATTTTGAACTTGAAAAAAAAAAAAAGACTTGACAGGTCAGGTTCCCGCTCCTATGTATCTTTCGTGTGTAGTGGAGGAATTAAAGCTGTCTCGTAGTTCTTTTTTGAAATTAGGTTTTGGATAAGTTTTAAAAAATTATTTTGAAAATTTAATTTTTATTTTGTTATTATATTGTTTTAGTAAATCCACTCTTGCACGGGTTTCAATTTAGCATAGGCTACTCAATAAACCCTTACAATCCAAACAATGTTGAAGATGGATCCACCACTCTATCAAAATTGTTTGC